GGGTCCCTACTTTGGGTTTGTGGCTACTGCTGTCTTCCATCATCTCCAAATTTATAAGATTACTGAGATTAGCCTGGCTGGTGTGGCTCAGTGGATTAAGCGCTGTCCCATGGACTGAGAGGTCCTGGTTTGATTCCTGGTCCAGGGCACATATCTGGGTTGCAGGCTCAATCCCAAGTAGGGGGTGTGCAGGAGGCAACCAATTGATGTTTCTCTCTCTCTCCCTTCCTCTGAAAAAAAAAAAAAAAAAAAAGATTACCGAGATTAAAGACTTAATAGCTATTAATTGAAGATTTGTGTACAATCAAAAGAACTAAGAGGATACTGAAAAGGAAATTTGTAATCCATAAATAGGTATTTGTGTATTTTTCATGATCTCTAACATTATGTAGAAGTGGGGGAAGGAAGAGTATGTTGTATTCATACCATCTATATCTTGGATAGTAGCTTTTTAAAAATCCTCACCCAAGGATATTTTTCCACTGACTTTTTTTAGGGAGGGAGGGGGGGTGAGAAGAGGGGAGAGGGAAACAGAAACATTGATGTGAGAGACACATCGATTGGTTGCCTCCCACAGGACCTTGACTGGGGCCTGGGATCAAATCTGAAACCCAGGTACATGCCTTTGAGAATCAAACCCTTGACTCTGGTCCTCAGGCCGATGCTTTAACCACTGAGCCAAACTGGCCAGGATGAGATACTAGCTTTTAATCCATCAAGATCTTCATTTTTATGAGCCTTTGAGAATGATGAAGTTTTTGTTTGATGGGGTTTAGTCAGATGATATATTTTTACTTGAGGGAAACTTGATTTCAGTGAAAACCATGGTACTTTGAATAGTTCAGCTTTTGTATTTATTCCTAAAAAAGGTAATTATTCACATGTCTGTATGTTTTTTGTTTTTGCATGTATGTGTGTGGGGGTCAGAAAGATAAATTCCCTTTTAAATTCTTACAGGATAGGAAAATAGTGTCTTCAATTTAAAATAAAAAATTGAGTTTTAAGTGACATATTACATTTCTTAGAAGCCCTTTTAAATTGACCTTATTTGATTGTACTTTTTGTCATTAGCCCTTTGTGTTACTTTTTAAAAATAATTGTGAGCCCTGGCCAGTTTGGCCCAGTGGTTAGAGCATCGGCCCACAGACTGGGTTTGGTTCCCGCAAAGGGCATGTACCTTGGTTGCAGTTTGGCCCTGGTTGGGGTTGTGCAGGTGGCAGCCAGTTGATGTGTGTGTCCCTCTTTCTCTTCCTCCCTCTCTCCCTCCTGCTCTATCTGAAAATAAAAATGCAAAAATGTCTTTGGGGGAGTATTTAAAAAAAAAAATTGTGATTCCCCCTCCCCAATAGATTCTTTTTATTTTATTTCATTTTTCCTATTCTTTTTTTTTTTTTTTTAATCCTTACCTAGGACATTTTTGCATTTATCTTCAGATAAAGCTGGAGCGAGAGAGAGGAGGAAGAGGGAGAAACATTGATGTGAGAGAGACACATTGACTGGCTGCCACCCACATGACCCGAACTGGGGTGGGGACGAACCACAACTGAGGTAAGTGTCCTTAGAGGGAACTGAACATGGGACTGTGGTCCGCTGGCAAGTACTCTAACTGCTGAGCCAAACCAGCCAGGGCCTAATAGATTCTTTTTAAAAAAATAATTAAGCCTGGCCGTTGTGACTCAGTGGATTGTGCGTCGTCCCGTGGACTTGAGAGGTCCTGGTTCGATCCCCAAGTGGGGGATATGCGGGGGGCAGCCGATCGATGTTTCTATCTCTCTCTCCTTTCCTCTCTAAAAAAAATCAATAAAGACATTAAAAAAAAAAATTGAACCTCATTCCTTAGGTGCTTAGTAGAATGTCATAGCTAATATTAGTTTGGTTAGTACTTTTTACTCGTTATCTACTGTGAATTCCATGTATAAATTAAAAGTGAGATGTGGCATATCAGCTATATTTAATATAGTCAATGTACAGAACCTGGACAGGTAACTAAAAGCTATTCTGGGAATCAGATATATTCTCTTTTCTCAGGAACTACCTGCTTTCCTCTTCAGAGGATGGAACTGTTAGATTGTGGAGTCTTCAAACATTTACTTGCTTGGTTGGATATAAAGGACACAACTATCCAGTTTGGGACACACAGTTTTCTCCATATGGATATTATTTTGTGTCAGGGGGCCATGACCGAGTAGCTCGGTAAGTACGTTTGTGATCTTACAACTGGGTATATTCAAGGAACAGAATGGTTTCTTGTTGGGAATTACAAACACTAGCTAAACTGGTTTTCACTTCTATGATTCAGGATCAACTTTTGGAGAATGTCAGTATTTATAGTTATTTGAAAATGAATTTGGGAAGAATATTAGTATGTTTATATGAAAAGTTTTGAGTAATTTTTCTTTCTCAAGCTAGCTTAACACACTTTCCCTGCCTCCCCTCAGCTGCTTAATCTTTTTTTAGGTTTATTTTTTTAATGTGTTCTCTCTCTTTTTAAATCAGTTGTTGTAACCTTGTCCTTTACTACCACTGTAGCACCTGTTTCCCTGTCATCTCCTTAAAAGTTCAGGATGAGGTAGCTCAGGTTAGAAATGTGGTGGCCAACACTTTCCTATGGGTTAGACTAGGAGTTGGATGGATAGAAGGGGAATGGGGAGAGGACAGAACTCAAGAATTATAAAATTAAAAAATGTTTGTACCAGATCAACTTCTTTTTTTTCAGAATGTCATTTAGTCTCAGGTGAAGGGGACCCATTTAGAACTAACATTTCCCATGGATATTTATTTTGGATAGAACTGTTGCATCTCATAGTTAACTAATTATCTTTTGCTTTTAATAAATTTTTAATAAGGCTCTGGGCTACAGACCACTATCAGCCTTTAAGGATATTTGCTGGCCATCTTGCTGATGTGAATTGTACCAGATTCCATCCAAATTCTAATTATGTTGCTACGGGCTCTGCAGACAGAACTGTACGGCTCTGGGATGTCCTAAATGGAAACTGTGTAAGGATCTTCACTGGACACAAGGTATTTTTACACCTTCATGATTCCAGCACACAAGGTTGCTTTTGAGATAAAAATATTTAAAAAATGAACCAGTGACACATTCATTCTAAAGATACTATTCATTCCACTACACTTAAAAATTCTTTGTTTTGTTTTCTTAGATATTTTTAACCCTACTATAATGATTCTTTCCATTGACTTCTTTTCTAGGGACCAATTCATTCCTTGACATTTTCTCCCAATGGGAGATTCCTGGCTACAGGAGCAACAGATGGCAGAGTCCTCCTTTGGGATATTGGACATGGTTTGATGGTTGGAGAATTAAAAGGCCACACTGATACAGTCTGTTCACTTAGGTTTAGTAGAGATGGTGAAATTTTGGCATCAGGTAAATGACTAGAAATGGCTTTGTGGTAAAGGGTAAACTGTTAAAAGTTAACAATTATGGCCTGGGGTGGTTGGACTCTGCGGTTAGAGCGTCAGTCTGTGGACCAAAGAGTGGCAGGTTCGTTTCCTGGTCCAGGGCATGTACCTGAGCTGCAGGTTCCATCCCCAGCCCTGGTCGAGGTTGTGTGGGAGGCAGCCAATCAATGTGTCTCTCACATTGATGTTTCTCTCTCTCCCTCCCTTCTTCCACCTTCCCACTCTACTTGAAAATAAATGGAAGAAAGTATCCTCAGGTGTGAGAAAAAAGTTAACAATGAGTGTTGACAATTGCAAAATTAAGTCCTGCTATTTTAGGCTTTGCTTCTCCTTAGCCATGATTCCAGAGTTATCATTCTACATGTATATTGACCTCTCACGTTAAACTATTGCTTGAAATGTTATTTCTGAAGGAATAGAGTTGTTAATCAAGTTTAGATTTTTCACCAGAAATCTACAATAAATACATAAAGTACTTGGCAAACTGTGTCAGAGGCTAAATATGATAGATACTACTAAATGGTTTCCTTTGACTTTCCCTCAGGTTCAATGGATAATACAGTCCGGTTATGGGATGCTGTCAAAGCATTTGAAGATTTAGAGACTGATGACTTTACTACAGCCACAGGGCATATAAATTTACCTGAGAATTCACAGGAGTTACTGTTGGGAACATATATGACCAAATCAACACCAGTTGTGCATCTCCATTTTACTCGAAGAAACTTGGTTCTAGCTGCAGGAGCTTATAGTCCGCAATAAACCATTGGTACTAAAGACCTTTGGAAGCTACTGTTTGAAAAAGGGAGACTAAAAGCAAATACCTCAGTGATTAATATTTAAGCTGCAAAGAATGTTTTATCTATATGGATCTGGAAGTATGCTGCTTGGAAAATCTGAACAGAAGAGTTCCACGTTTCTACAGCAACCACATTTAACTAATTTCCGTTAGTTGAATAAGAGGTATTATGTTTGTGGAGGGGACATTTATGGTGCTTTGGAATGTGTGGAAACTATGCATTTTCTGTTCAAATGCTATTTTAATTTATTATGTTTAGAAAAAAAACTGATTTCAATAATTCGTCCTGCTTCAAGATTCAAATTGAGTAATATAATACCATCTTGAATTTTAGCTGAAGAATTCTATGAGCATGTTTCTGCTGTAAAAATGTAGTTACTGTATGGCACTCAAGTACTATGTTAAACGATCTACTAACATTTTTTGCTTGGCCTATGACTAGTGGAATGTATGTAACTGAGTAGGGTGAACTACGATTCCTTTCTAAGATTTAGATGAAGTACAACCAGCCACTGACATCTGAATTTACACCTGTTAGATTTTGAGTGCACCCAAACACTCTAAATCAGGTGAAGAAATTTAGCTTTTATGTTCTACTTCAGCTAAAATGGCTATACACACAACCTTACACACTTGAAGTCAGACAGACATTTCAGTTGCTTACCTCCAGTACTGAGCCTTGCTTTGGGAAACTATAATTCAGACCAAGTCACTGCCAGTTTTTTTGCCTTTGTTGCATTTTTGTACAGTTTTTATATTTTTGATATCTTGTAAATAAAGACAACCAGCTTTTCCAGGTTCATAATTTATTGTACAAATTGAGTATCACATGATGAGTTGACATTAGCGTCTCCAGGCATGGGAAGTTAACAGATGAGGAACAGTTTAGAATCCTATAAACAAAGCAAAAATAGTTCAGATAAAATCATGTTCAACTCTACTTTTAAGACATTCAGTAAATTACCATTATAGGACTATCCATGAACATCTGAAATTGAATGCAAATTCATCAAATTTTCAAAGGAGTCAGTACCCCCCCCCCCCAATTAAGGTATCTCAGTTTAATACAATTTAACCTAACACTCCTTTAACAAAAGAGCTACCAACAATTCATTATGATCTTAAATGTATCCTACTGGAAAAATCATGTATATAAAGTAACATTTTGAACAGTAGAAAACAGGTACGTAAACTAGTATGTATTATTTAATATCTGAGACACACTTTCTTCATTTGTGTAAAGGGCTACAACTACCTTCCCAAAGTTAGGAAGTACCTAATATGGAAAATCGAGCAAAACACTACATTTGCATTCTGGGATATTCAGTCCCCTATGGATTGGAAAAACTCTTAAGAGCAGAGGGAAATTTTTCTATCTGTGAAGAGCTACATTAGAGAAAGATCTGGATTTTGGGTTTTCTGCACATGATTTACTGCCAACACAAATATTTATTCACTCAGGAGTAAGTAAACGGGTGTTGGGGGCATTATAAGAAGAAAATGAAGTCTATGGGGGATTTAAGGAAAAGATAGAACTACCTATATAAAAACTTGAAACCAACCACATCAAAATTATAACTAAACTATAGAAAACCATCATTCAGAACTGCCTGAACCCTAGCTAAATGGAAGTCCTACAACTAGGGAGTTAAGCAGTTCCTCTTGTTTTGTTTGTTGTAATCCTCACCTGAAGATATTTTTTCCATTGATTTTTTTTTTTTTAATTTAAGAGAGTGGAAGGGAGGGAGGCAGGTATGGGGGGAAGAGAGAAACATCAATGTGAGAGACACATCAATTGGTTGCCTCCTGCATGCACCCTGAGGCTGGAGATCAAACCTGCAACCCAGGTATGTGCCCTGGACCAGGATCAAACCTGAGACACTTGGGTGCATGAGCCGATGTTCTAACATCTGAGCCACATGGGCCAGGGCGGCAGTTCTGCTTAAAGGGCCTGCACATGAATTTAGTCTGATTCACTCCCTCTGACCTCCATGCTGGGACGTAAGGGAGGAAGTAACTTGTCTGGCATCAGGGTGAGAGCTGGGGAGCAGCTACCTGCCAGACAAAAGTGCTGGCAGAAACCATTGTTTTTTTTTCTGAGCCCTCCTCTAACCAAGCAATATCTGAGTCTCCATCAACCTGGCTCACACTGTTTGCCTGCCCTGGTGATTCCCTGAGACCACACCCCACCCAAGCTCTTTTTAGGGGCTTTTCCCTACAAATGGCCTGTCTTGGTTCATGCTTCAGACTTTACTAAAATCTCTCAAACAAGCAAAATCTGGCCTCAGCGTGCCCTGTACCTCTTGCTAAGTGGCCATAGGCCTGGCACTAGCAGTAGCAGGCGTTGGTTTGTAGCTTAGCATCACATGGGCACTTCCAGGCCCAGCACAAGTAGCAGCCATCTGCAGTACACTTTGTAAGTCACACCAGGTGACCCCAAGAACACAGGTGGTGGCTGACCTTGGCCTGCCCCTCTCTGGAGACCCCAGAGCCAGCACACCCAGCTTCAGACCATGATGAAGCACCACCCAACCACTTTCACAAGTGATACACTCAAGAGGCAGACTTGGTAGGCTCCAGAGCCCCACTGAAGTTAAGTGCTGCTCTGTGGGGTGGGTCAAAGGTGGTTGATGGTCACAGCCAGTCTTATAGCCAATTGGGCTAGGGGTAAATCCCTCCCATGATGTGCCAACAGCAATCAAGGCTCAACTACAACAGGAGGATGTACACAGCCCACATGGGGGTGTACCTAGAGTGCTCAGCTTGGATAATCAGGGAGGCTGTGCCACTGGCCCCTACAAAATAAGGCCTGTCTACCAAGCCTGGGAGACATAGCAGCTCTTCCTAAGTCATAGAAACAAATACAGGGAAGCTGCCAAAATAAGGAGACAAAGAAATGTCCCAAATAAAGAACAGAACAAAACTCCTTCAAGAAAAAACTAAACAAAATGGGGACAGCCAATCTACTAGATGCAGAGTTCCAAACACTGGTCATAAGGATGCTCAAAGAACTCAGTGAGAACTTCCACATTATAAAAAAAGGACATGGAGCCCTGGTCGGTTTTCTCAGTGGTTAGGGCATCAGCTCACAGACCAATGAGTCATGGGTTTGATTTCAGTCAAGGGCATGTACCTTGGTTGTGGTTCGTCCCTGGCCCTGGTTGGGTTGTGTGGGAGGCAACCAGCTGATGTGGCTTTATCACAACAATGTTTCTGTCTTTCCCTCCCACTCTATCTAATGATAAATGGAAAAATACCCTTGGGTATATTAAAAAAAAAAAAAAAAAAAGGACATGGTGCCCTGGCTGGTGTGGCTCAGTTAGTTGAGTGTCATCCTGTGCACTTAAAGGCTGCCAATTTGATTCCTGGTCAGGGCACATGCCTGGGTTGCGGGTTCAATCCTTAGTTGGAGTGCAAGTGATCGATGGTTCTCTCTCTCCCTTCCTCTCTAAAAAAAAAAAAAAAAAGACTAAAAAAATAAATATAAAAAGGACATGGAAGCCATAGAAAAGAATCAGTCAGAAATGAAGGATACACTAACTGAAATGAATAATTTACAGGTTATCAACAGTAGAGGAGCCCTGGCCAGTATGGCTCAGCAGATGGAATGTCGGCCTGCAGACCAGAGTCCTGGGTTCAGTTACCGCTAGGGGCATGTACCAAAAAAACAACAACACAACAACAACAACAACAACAAAAAACAGTAGAGCAGATGAAGCCAAGAATCAAATCCGCGATTTAGAATATAAGGAAGCAAAAAACACTCAATCAGAACAGCAAAAAGAAAGTAGAATCCAAAGAATGAAGACAGTGTAAAGGGCCTCTGGGACAACTTCAAGTGTACCAACATTTGCATCATAGGGGTGTCAGAAGAAGGGAGCAAGAAATTTAACACCTATTTGAAAAAATAATGACAGAAAACTTCCTTAACCTGGTGAAGAAAATACACATACAAGTCCAGGAAGTGCAGAGTCCCAAACAAGATGAACCCAAAGAGGCCCACACCAAGACATACCAATACACACCATAATTAAAATGAAAAAGATTAAAGACAAAGAGAGAATCTTAAAAGCAGCAAGAGAAAAGCAGTTAGTTATGTACAAAGGAGCTCCCATAAGACTGTTAGCTGATTTCTCAAAAGAAACTTTGCAGGCCAGAAAAGCTAGGCAAGAAATATTCAAAGAGATGAAAAGCAAGGACCTACAACCAAGATCACTCTACCGAGCAAAGCTATCATTTAGAATATAAGGATATATAAAGAGCTTCCCAAACAAGAAAAAGCTAAAGGAGTTTAGCTCTACCAAACCAGCATTATATGAAACATTAAAGGGTCTTCTTTAAGGAAAAGAAGAAATTAAAAAATAAGATAAAAAATGTGAATAAAAACAAACAAATGTAAATAAAATGGAAATATACACATATTTATCAACGATGGAATCTAAAAAACAAAATAAAAAAGCAGAACACAGACTCATAGATACAGAGAACATTTTGATGGTTGCCAGATGGGAGGGGGGTGAAAAAGATGAAGGAATTAAGAAGTACCAGTAGGTTGTTACAGAATAGTCACGAGGATGTAAAGTACAGCACAGGGAATATAGTCAATAATATTCTAATAGCTATGTATGGTGTCAGACAGGTACAAAGTTTATCAGAATAATCACTTAGTAAGTTATATAATGTCTAACCCATGAGGTGTATACCTGAATATTATATGTCAACTTTAATTGAAAAATAAAAAGTGATTAAAGAAAAAACCTTGAGCCCTGGCTGGTTTGGCTCGGCTGTTAGAGTGTCAGCCCATGGACCAATGAGTCATGGGTTCGATTCCAGTCAAAGGCATGTACCTTGGTTGCAATTCGTCCTTGGCCCTGGTTGGACTCGTGTGGGAGGCAGCCACTCGATGTGTCCCTTTCACATTGATGTTTCTCTCTCTCTCTTCCTCCCACTCTATCTGAACTAAAATGGAAAAATGCCCTCAGGTGAGGATAAAAAAAACAAAAAAACGTAAAAACAAACAAACAAAAAACCTTGAGCCCTGGCCAGTCTGGCTCAGCAGTTAGAGCATCAGCCCACAGATTGAAGGGTTGCAGGTTCACTTTCCGATCAAGGGCAGGTACCTGGGTTACAGGTTCGGTCCCTGGCCCAGGTTGGGGTCATGCGGGAGGTAACCAATAAATGTGTCTCTCTCATACCCCCTCCCCCACCTTCCTCCCTTCCTCTCTACCTAAAAATCAATGGAAAAAATACCCTCAGGTGAGGAGTAACAAAAAAAAACCACAAAAAAACCTTGAAACTAACACACTAGCAAAAATCAAGATATATCTGCAACTCATTTAAAAGATTGGTTAATGATTATTACATAAAAAGCTTATATGAGAGAAATAAGGTCTCCACAAAGACAAAAGTCCCAGCTGTTAAATGTGAAAACCACATGAAAAGAATGTTAAGAAAAATACAAATGGCAAAAAAATGCAAAAAAAATGTACGACTTCATTATTCAACTTTGGCTGGGGCAAAAGAGACAACCTCTTACAAAGCTGGGTGCCCCACAACTCTTTGAGAAAGAACTTCAGCCTAAGAAACAACCACAGATGTAGACTTCACTTCATGCTCAAAATGATTATGATGTTACTTATATTAAAACAAAATCTAATAGGAGACACATTTCCTCTGTAAAATAAATCATATAACCACAAGCACTCTACTCATGTATTCAAATTATAGAGACCATACACAATCATGAGTCATAGTCTATAAAAACCAAATAAAATATACAAAAAAGAGCCAAACAAAAATGGTAACTAAAACTGACAGGGCAATGGGATATGGTAATATGTTTCTCTATTTTTTTCTTGTGTGTAATAAATGTTGCATAATGACAACGATTTACTTTTATAGCCAGGCAGAAAAACTGTAACATCAGAATGGCTAAATTATAAACTTTAAAATGTCAATTCCTTACCTTTTATGTTGCTTTCACAGCTGGGTTTTTTTTAGACCTTAACTTGAAGTATAAAACCAGCAAAGCAATGCTTCCATATGTGGCCAGTACACACTGAAAAAGAACAGAAAAAGTTAAAAAGGAGATGTCATACTTATAGAATTCTAAAATATATTTGCTTAAAGGCATCATTAATACTTACATTCATTCTACCTGTGAGAGTATAAGAGTTGAAATATTTTCTGATTCCAGTGAACTGGAATTGGGCATCAGTTTCTGCACCCGCCATGATTTCAATCTTGTAAAAAAGGAAAGAAGGCAACAGTAAATTGGTTTGGATGCAATTTGAAAAAGACTTTAAAAAAAAAAAAATTTTTAAACCTGAAAAGTCACTGCATATAAATCTTGTAAATTTTTATTTATGTTGCGCCCAACATAGCAGTAGCAAAGATGGTGAAAAAAGCCTCGTTGATAAGAGAAACTTTTGGAAGGAGGACTTTACCTTGGTTGCTTTTACTTAATACTCCAGAATATATGTCAAATCATTTAGCATAGGAAGAAAACAGTCTCTAAGTCCACTCTCTGACCCAATATTGCTTGATGTGTTCAATTCTGACTCTATCTTTATCATGGTACAATGAACATGGAATTAATCAGTTTTAAGATTAGTTGAAAGTTAGTCCTCATAAAACTTTTCTAAAATTCTCAGAGGGGTAACCACCAACCAAACAGCTCAACTTGCAACCATGCTTTTACAATTTTTCTTATAAATAATTTAAGACCTCCAAGGGAAAGCTGAGAAGGGATCATTTAATAAATGGAGTTGAGCCCTGGCCGGTTTGGCTCAGCGGTTAGAGCGTCCGTCTGCGGTCGGAGAGACCCGGGTTCGGTTCCCGCTAAGGGCACGTACTTCGGTTGCAGTTTGTTCCCGGCCCTGGTTGGTCGTGCGGGTGGCAGCCACTCGATGTGTCCCTTTCACATCGATGTTTCCCTCTCTCTCTCTTCCTCTCTCTCCCTCCCACTCTATCTGTACAAAAAATGGAAAAATGTCCTCAGGTGAGGATAAAAAAATAAAAAAATAATAAATGGAGTTGATAGTAGCTATTGTGGGGAGCTGGAATCCTTATTCCTCTGGACCGCAGGCCGACGCTCTAACCACTGAGCCAAACCAGCCAGGGCTGGAATCCTTATTCCTTACATCAAAGTAGATAAAAGATTTAAATGTAAATAGTGAACACCAAGCTCTGGCCAGGTGGCTCTACTGGTTGGAACATTGTCCCATACACCAAAAGGTTATGGGTTTGATTCCGGGTCAGGGCACACATACCCAGGTTTCAGGTTTGGTCCCAGTACGAGAGGCAACTGATCAATGTCTCTCTCTCTTCCCCTTTCTCTCTCTAAAATAAAAAAATATATCCTTGGGTGAGAATTAAGAAAAAAATAGTGAAAACAAAAAAATCCCGTTAGAAAACGTGGGCAAATATTTTAATCACCTTAGAGAAGGAAAATAAAAAAGAACAAAAGGGCAAAACATAAATAGAGTCCTAGCCAGTTTGGCTCAGCAGTTAGAGTACTGGCCCGCGGACCAGAGAGAGATCTGGGTTCGGTTCCCGCTAAGGGCACAGGTTACAGTTTGTCCCCGGCCCCGTTTGGGGTCGTGTGGGTGGCAACTACTTGATGTGTCTCTCTCACGTCGATGTTTCTCTCTCTCTTTCTCTCTCTTTTCCTCCCTCTCTCCCTCCTGCTCTATCTGAAGATACATGCAAAAGTGTCCTCGGGTAAGGATAAAACAAAACAAAACAAAACAAAACAAAACATAAAACATAAAAAGATAACCTCAGGATCAAAAAATGTAAAATGAGACCAATATTTAGCAGACTGGCAAATAAAAAATTATAATAAGCAGTAGTAAGATTGTTGGAAAATAAGCATTCCTTCTGTTGCCTCGCGTATAACTGACAACTTCGTAAAGTGCAATTTTGCAATATCTATCAAATAATAATTAGTATATCTTTTTACCTAGCTGGTTCATTTGTTCTCCAGGAATTTACCCTTATAGAAATATTACAAAGTGGAAATATGCTACATATTTCAAGGATGGTGACTGAAATACTGTTTATGAAAGCAAACTGGAAAAACTAAAAGTCCACCTATAGGAAACTGATAAAAGATGGTTTCCATTGGAGGATACAATGTATATTGACCGATATTTATGTATTGACATGGAAAGATATCCCCATGTAATGTTAAATTTGGGGGGGGAGGGGGGAAATCCACCCAGGCTGGTTTGGCTTGTCAGTTGGAGATTTGGCCTATGGACTAGTGAGTCGAGGATTCAATTCTGGTCAAGGGCACATACCTTAGTTGTGGTTTGTCCCAGGCCCTGGTCGGGGTCCTGTGGGAGGCAACCAGTTGATGTGTCCCTCTCATGTTGATGTTTCTCTCTCTCTCCCTCCTTCCCACTCTATCTGAAGATAGATTGAAAAATATCCTCGGGTGAGGATTAAAAAAAAAAAAAATCCTACTTCTGGACATTGTAGAGCACATCAATGTTTCTCAAAATCTGGTCCTTAGGCCAGCAGCACCAACTGGAAACTTGTTAGAAATGCAAATTATCAGGCCCAAGACCTCAAGCCTACTGACTCAGAAACTCTGGGGTCCAACAATTCATTTTAATACGCTCTCCAGGTGTTTCTGATAAACGTTCAAATTTGAAAAACAGCACAACAGAAAACAATGGAAAAATATGTAGCAAACTTTGCAGAAGAGTTATAGCTATAGTACCTATGTAGTTTACAAAGACATGTATTTCTCTTATAATAAAAATAGTAAAGGCACATTCAAAAGTCATCAAAACAATGCTTCAAAATTCGTATGTATGACCACCTATCTACCACGACCGACGCCACGCCGAGTCGATTGGCAACATAGACGAGCCGGTCGAGGTCCGGTCGAGATTGGTAGGCAGTGGCAGTGATACAGCTGGCTCTTGATGAAATGGAAGAGGGAGAGATCAATGAGGAAATCATTGCTATGGAAACTGGCACTCTCCTGTTTACCATGCAAAGGCCTTCAGAGGCATTCACGTGCACAGAATTGGCAATGAAAATTTTGGACAAATAACTTTAATTTTGGACTGTTTCAAGAATGTTCTTGGAGCAATGAAGGAAAATGTTCTTGGGCCACTCGATGGCCTTGGCCTGTCCTGCACAAGTAGCAGCATCTCCATTAAAAGGAACCTTTATGATGTAACTTTTATATTAACTGTTTCATTTTACTAAACTTATTAAAGGCATACTTTCCCCCCCAATTCACCTTCATGATACCTTTTTAATTCCTATAGCATCAAGCAGGTTTCCAGGAGAAACCCTTCAGAAAACAAGGGCTTAACTGTGTCAAATTATTAATTGATAACCCCCCACTACCTGTGCCTAACAAAAAATGTTCTGGTGTGCAACAGAAACAATTTAAAATGTTTTAAAGTTCTCTCTACACAATATGGGATAAAGTCTGATGTTTGTGATAGTCCACAGAGGACTAATTCTGACTTAAGAGCATGGTATAGGAACTGCGATTTAGTCTGTGTCTTAAAGGAAAACTCTTGAGAGGCTGGGTGGGAGCAGGGAAAATGGAATGTTGCTAGTGAGATAAACAATGGGAGCGAAGCCTGCAAACACTCTGCACTCTTCTGCAAAATGCTGGTTACTTTTGGGCAAGGATCAGAAACCTTTGTTAGAGTGCCCTTTGTGGAATAATTGAACTATAACTTGCCTTCCTTCCGAGTAATGCTTAAGTTTAGAAAGACATATAAAAGAAAGAGAAAAGTACCTAAGAATAATTGTATTCTTGGTTAAACAGCAGCCTGTGGGGGAAGGTCTAAGCAATAGAGTCTTCACTTTTGCAATTAACTGGCGAATAGCTATCAAGTAGAATTAATCCTTCCACACCCTGTAAAATGGGCATTTCAAAAAAGGCCCAAAGTGATTATCTGCATTGGCTACTTTCCGTTTCTCGATGCTACTGTGTTCCTGTCTGGATGGTCACCTACCTGGAACGGTGAGATTACGAAGTAAAGCAGGCAAAGATGGGCGAGAGCCGCTCAGGTACCAGAACCAGCCTACTGCACTTCGAGGAGTTTACATTTCTTTGTTCTGGCTACCTCCTAGGAAAGGCCTCCCCGTTGCCCGAACATACTGGAATCTAAACCTAACCCGCTCACCGCGGGCCTGAACAGGCAAGGGCCGGGCCACACTCCCTCTCGCTCTGACACAAAGGCTGCGGCGCCGCTGAAGGAGGTCTGGCTGGCAAGCCTCCTTAGCACAGCTCAACCGACACAAGCGGCTATGGGCATACGGAGGAAAAGACATTAATTCGGCCAGAGGTGGGGTGAGAAGCTCAGGTTCTCATCCAATATTACGTCACCGGGTGACCTTGGGGGACTCCTTTCGCTGCGGGCTTCATTTTTCTCAACTGAAAAGTGCAACCTAAGGGTCTTCGGGCTCCAGGAGAGCCTTTGGGAGCGTCTACTCGCCTCTCCCCAGGGCTGCCCAACCACGGTCCGACCCCTCGCACCGCCAGTCTCCAGACCTCAAATTCCTTTTCCCTCCCCCCTCCGCCCACGTCCCCCAAAGCGAAGACCTCGCGGCGTTCCCGGACAAGGAACGGTCGGATCCTAGGCTGGCGCCGCAAAACTAAGGCGCGAGGTCCGAACCCAGGCTCCTCGCTCACCCACCTTGCAAAAATCCCAACTCCGCAGGCTGTGTCCTTCAACGTACGAAGCTACCTCTCGGCCCGCCGGAAGAAGCCGCCTCCCCCGCACGCGTTCAACCGGCCTCAGCGATTCAGCCTTCGGCCTCGATTGGCTATGGCTTGAAGTCCCGTTCTTCCGCTTCCTGTCTCTACATCTCCTCCCTCTAGACGGTGCCAGGACCCAGCTTAGTAACGGAAGTAGGGCGTTGAGCCCGCCCACGCTTCCGGAAGCGCGGCGTTGGGCTTTGGGTGTACGGCTTTCCGCGTGTGTAGATACGGTGGCGCGGCCTCCGAAGTTCTCCCTGGCTGGCGCCGCGAGGCAGGTGAGTGAGGGCAAAGGCAGTACGGGAGGAAACCTTGTGGCCTCCAAGACTGTGCCAGGGCTAGGTCCCCCAGGTCCCTGCCATGCACCCCGCAGTGCCGCGTGAATGATTCTGCCCCCGCAGCCGGGCTCAGAAGCCGGCTGTGCTCCAGTGGCCTCTGTCGCATCACGCTCTGTCCCTGGGAAGCAGCTTAAGCCCCTGCTCTGACACTGGATCGCCTTTGAAGCTCCCGTTTCCCCTTGTCTGAAATGAGATTAAGGATCAAGTTCTCAGCAAACTAGACTGCACTTAACTGTTTCTACGAAGTATACATCCTTTCCTGATCCTCGTCTCCCTCTCGGTTGTCACCTCTACTATCTCAAGCCTTTGTAGATTCCTATTCCCACGTCTCTCGGAACCAGTCCCTCCTGTCTTACATTCTCACTTATATCTACTTTTGGTTCTCATGGTTTCTCGGTTTTACTGCAGTTGAATCCTACTCGGTTTACCTTCCTTCAGTTCTCTCTTCCTGTTCACTGTATAACTGCAGTATATATTTTTTTGATTACTGTTGTGTTTCTTCTAACTTTAGCAGTCATTCTAATTCTAGCTACTTAAGGCTCTGATCGCCAAAGTAAACACTAAACAACTCATATCTAATTCAAGGTCTTCCACGAAAAGTCTAATCTGCCTTTTAAAATTTAACTCCAGTTATTATGCTTTATTCTTCCTGTGATCTAGTTGAACAGTCCTTCATAGAAAGGGAACAACAGCCTTTTGAGCAGTTGTCTGACACACAAATTGCTGGTTCTCACTGAAATAATTGGCTATTTCTGTTTCGATGTTTTTCCTCACATTCCTTCTGCTTTTCCCTTTCCACATATTAAAATTCCATCCATCTTTTAACAGTTAGCCCAAAAGCATCTTCTTTAGGACACTTGCCTCCTTTATTGAAGCCTTATCACTTCCTGCCTCTTTGTTGCTAGTTTATAATCTGATTTGTATTTTAAATTATTTGCATAATTGTTTTATCTTCTTAAAAGTGTTCATGTTCTTTGAAGGTAGGGAATTATATATTTGTTTGTGTATTTCTGACTTAACTGTAGCTGCTTAATGGTATTACTACATTGAATCTATAACTTTTTTCCTTGGAGGAAAATGTGTGGATTTGAGATTTTTGAAGGAGAGATCTTTGGAAAGATGAATTAGATTATCTGGGACCTGGCATCAAACCATCTATTCCTTGATCCTGAGTGCTGTCTAGTACACTGGTGCTAGAGGCTCTATCTCTTGCCCATTGATCACAGACTTTAGGAAATCTGACACCAAGGTTACACCTTCTGGTAACTCTTTGCATTGTTTTTAGGAGACCCAAACATGGCAACCATGGAAGAAAGCTTCCCCCGTGGCGGTACAAAAAAGACCCACAAACCAGCAAAAGCTTTCCAGCAGTCAGTTGAACAAGACAACTTATTCGATGTAAGTGGTATGCTTATTTGAGACTCGCTGACACTTTCTCTGTAGTATTCTTGTGAAGAATGAGCCCTGTTTGAGAAAAGTGTTGTTTTCCAGATTTGTTTCTTATTGAAGTTTATGTTTGTAAATTGAATATGTTAGAGAATTCGTACCAACCACAAAACTATGTCTTTTGAAGCATGGCATTTAGTATTTGAGTTTACAGTGCTCTTCTTTATTCTTAGGAGCTTTGTATGGTGTTGATAAAAGATGGAGGGAAAGCATTTGATCATTGTATATTTGAATGGGGTCCTTGCTGCCATGTATAATGATCAGAATTTGCATTATAATTCATAGTCTTTACCTACATACAGTAGGCTGTGCTCTAAATGCTGGAGGGAAGGGAACTAACATTTGATTGTATGGCTTTACATCTATATTATATACTTTTCCCAACTGTACTATGAAATAGAGATTACCATTCTATGATGAGACACCAAGGCTAAGAGAGGTTATGTAATTTAGCTGAAACCACACAGATTGTTATGCTGGAATTGGGAGTTTAACTTGGTCTTGGTGACTCTACTTTCCATTCATACACTGTTCCAAATTGCTTCTTATTTTGGGGAACCCCAGTGTCCATCCTAAGTCAAGGGAGGAAGAACACTGGAGAGAAGGGGCTTTTGAGAACACAGAGGGCAGATTTTGGTTAAAGGAAGCAGGAGAGGTAGAATGGGAAAGTTGGGATTGAAGAGGGAATTAAGGAACACTTCGGGGTGGGGTGGGGTGGAGCTCTAATAGAGCAAGGTGACAGGTGACCCGAAATTGGAGGGAAAAGCCAGGATTTCTTCTTTTCATTGTTTGGGATCTTTTCTCCCCTTTAGATTTCTACTGAAGAGGAATCCACCAAAAGGAAAAAGAGCCAGAAAGGGCCAGCAAAAACAAAAAAGTTGAAAGTTGAAAAGAGAGAAAGCAGCAAGTCTGTAAAAGAGAAGTTTGAAATCCTTAGTATTGAGGTTTGTTAAAGTTTGGCTTTGTTTTAAACAAAGTACCTGGGTTGCTTAAGTTTGTGTATATTCTTCCTTCTCTCTTGCTTCCTTTTTTTTCAATATTTTCATTTATAAATATATTTATGGCTTGTGTCTATAGAGATTCTTGCAGTTTGTCCTCAGAATCGAGCATCATTTTCTTCTATTATTAACTAATGCCTGGGATCGTGTATTTTGTTTGTTTTTCTTTTTATCTCATCCTGCTGATAGGCTTATGGGACTTGTGTTTTAATAGATTCACAGGTTAGAACTGGCAGTCATTCTGATTCTACTCTTTCATTTCATAGAATTAGAAACTGTCTCAAATCAGTGAAGTGGTCTTAGGTTTCTTAAATTTTTAGATAACTGACATATGTTAGTTATAATAAAAGAGGAGGAATAACATAACATGTATGTCAGTTATATATAAAAAAAATAACTGACATATGTTAGTTATCTTTCTAAAGGGAAAGATTCAGATTTAGTGAACAGAAGTATCTTGTTTGTCCTGGTTAATACTTAAAAAATAATTGTTTAACTTCATACCAACATTAGAAAATGAAAAAATTTCATAAAAATGTGATTTCTGTCTTGTAAAAATTTGAAGGTGCTGACAACACAAGCTTGCATTCCTTCATGTTTGTAGTCACATAGAGCTCAGTGGAGGTTGCACTTCTAGATGTGGCCTGCACACTCCCGACTGCCGTTATCTCCACTGACCTGCCTCCTTATTTTGCTGCCTGTTAGGCATTTGAGGTTAGGTTGCTTGGGATAAAGTAAAAGGTGAAAGTGCCCTCTAGCACCCTAGTGCTGTTAACACTCTTGTACAATTTAGACCTTTTATGGTGCTCAGTTAGATATTTGATTAAGTGCATTGACATATACACATAGATACTTCCTGTAGCTTTTGTACATTAGAGTTAAGACTGAAAGCCAGACTCCCCTTACCTCCCCGTTTATTGTTCTCTTCCCTGTCGTATTGATTTCACTTTTTCTCTTCTAGTCCCTGTGTGAGGGGATGCGGATTTTGGGTTGTGTGAAAGAGGTAAATGATCTGGAACTGGTGATAAGTCTCCCCAATGGCCTCCAGGGGTTTGTGCAAGTCACTGAAATCTGTGATGCTTATACCAAAAAGCTGAATGAGCAGGTGGCGCAAGAAGAACCTTTGAAGGTAAGGGAGATAAGTGGTACACAAATAAATGCAAGATTACAACTTTGTTGAATGCTAAGAAGGAAAGGTACAAGGTGTTATGAGCGTTTATAATAGGGAATTTTTTTTTTTAATCCTCACTTGATATTTTTTTCATTTATCTTCACATAGAGTGGGAAGGAGGAAGAGAGGGATAGGGAGAAACATCAGTGTGAGAGAGATACATCGACTGGTTGCCTCCCACATGACCCTGACCGGGGCCGGGGACCGAACAACAACCAAGGTCCGTGCTCTTGACCTGAATCGAACCTGTGACTCTTTGGTCCAAAGGCTGAGTCACCCCAACCCCTGAGTCACCAGGGCAGGATTTTTTTTTCTTTATTGATTTTATTATTATTATTTTTTTAACGTATCTTTATTGTTGAATGTATTATAGATGTTCCTCATTTTCCTCCCCATTGACCCCCTCTTCCCCACTCGTGCCCCCCTCCTGCCTTTCCCCACATTGTTGTCTGGATCTAAGTTCTTTGGTTTATTTCTTCCACCCCCAACCCTCTTCCCTTTTAGGTTTGTCAGTCTAGCAACCAATTTGTACTTCTTAATCCCTTCACCTTTTTCACCCATTCCCCCAATCCCTCTCCCATATGGCAACCAACAAAATGTTCTCTGTATCTATGAGAATGTTTCTGTTCTGCCTGTTCATTTTGTTTGTAGATTCAATTGTCGATAGATATATATTCATTGCCATTTTGTTTGTTCATATTTTTTATCTTTTTCTTCAAAAAGACCCTTCAACATTTCATATAATAATGGTTTGGTGGTGATGAACTCCTTTAACTTTTCCTTGTCTGCGAAACTCTTTATATGGCCATCGATTCTAAATGACAGCTTTGCAGGATAGAGTAATCTTGGTTGTAGGTTCTTGCTTTTCATCACTCTGAATATTTCTTGCCACTCCCTTCTGGCCTGCAAAGTTTCTTTTGAGATATCAGCTGACAGTCTTTTTTTTTAATCTTCACCCGAGGACATTTTTCCATTTTTTGTTCAGATAGAGTGGGAGGGAAAGAGAGGAAGAGAGAGAGAGAGAAACATCAACATGAAAGGGACACATCGAGTGGCTGCCACCTGCATGACCCAACCAGGGCCGGGGATAAACTGCAACCAAGGTATGTGCC